TAAGGGCTGGCATCTTACTCCATTCCCTGTTGTACTGGCTGGTGGGGAGGCTGGTGCACAAATGGGCAGCCCAGAAGGAGCCTTCTCCCGCTTTTCCTTCCTCCAGGCTTGTTCTTTCTGCTCGGGAAGCCAGATGCTTTGCGGTTTAATTACATGCTGCAGTTGGAAGTACAGAGTGTCAGTGCTGAAAAGGAAGGATCTCGTTATAGATAATAGCTACCAGCATTTATTGAGCGCTTACTCTGTGCCAGGTGCTGCGCCAGGCCTGTTTCCAGGCACGGCCTTATTTAACTTTGCAGCATCATCTATGTTCTGCATAAAGAAACGGAGCCTTAAGAGGAGCTACAGAGAATTTCCCAAAGTGCTCTAGGTGCTGCTTCATAACACAAGATATTGGTTGATATTCAGGAGTGCTGCATCCCAGTAGGGAACCTCCCAAAGCATAGCATGAGCTTAAGGTCCAGAGAAGTCTTGCAGCAAAGAAACCTGTTCGGGTCAGTGTCTCATGTTGCAGACGTTACAGAATCGCTGCTCCAGAGAGGACAGTTTGCGAGCTGCAGATAGTGACCAACCTCCTCAACAGTTGGGGTCATGAAGCTCAGGCACTTTGGGGGCAGACCAGACAAAGGCCTTGGGCTTCTCCATGTATAGGGCACAGGAAAGCAGATAGCAGCTCACCTGGTCCACACTAATCTGTTTTTGTAAAGAAAGTTTTAGTGAAGAGTTTCTGTGTGTGTGTGTGTGTGTGTGTGTGTGTGTGTGTGTGTGTGTGCACATGCTTGTAGAAGTCAGAGATCAACCTCAGGGGTAGTTCTTTGGCCACTATCTACCCCCACTTTTTTGAGGTAGGGTTGTTCACTGGTGGGAACCCACCAAGAAGGCTAGGTTATCTGGTCAGTGAGTCTCAGGAGTCCTCCTGTCTCTGCCTCGCAAGCTCTGGTATTACAAGTATATGATATGTGAACATGCCCCCACCTTTTTAGAAACGTGGTTTATACGGATCAAACTCAGGTCCCCACGCTTGCAAGGCAAGCACTTCCCTAGGCCATCTCCCCAGCTTAGTGGACGAAACATTCAAAACCCCAGAGAGGAGGACTGACTTATCCAGAATCACACAGCCAACCAGGAGCCCAGCAGAACCATATTCTAGATCTCTGCAACTCTACTTGTAGGGGTAATTCATTTGTATCTTAATAAATAAAACTTGCCTGAAGATCAGAGAGTGAAACAGCCGCCCTGGTCAGCCTTACAGAGCAGGCAGTGGTTGCACACACCTTTAATCCCAGTAGCCACACTAGTTTGCCATAGAAACTGGGAGGTAGTGGTGCACATCTTTAATCCCAACACTAGACTGGAATATAAAACGGGAGGAGACAGCTCTCACATACAGTCTCACTCTGAGAATTCTGGAGGCAGAATCGCCATTTCGAACTGAGGTCAAGATAAGAGCCACTTCCAGGACAGGCTCCAAAACCATAGAGAAACCCTGTCTCGAAAAACCAAAAAAAAAAAAAAAAAAAAAAAAAAAAAAAAAAAAAAAAAAAAA